CTCGGGCGTATCTGCCCCCCCGCCATGCACCCACTACACAAGCTGCACAAAGTGAGCTCCTTAAATAGAAGGTTAATGCCAGCGTGAGGGGGGGGAAGAAAAAAAAAAAGACAATTTTCGTTTTTACTTTCGGCAGTGCATCCAGCAAAGCGACACGAAACGAGAACAATCACTCATAGCGTCAGCCCGGCCAGGAGCAGAGGCCATCGCCCAGGACTTGTCCGCAGGCACATGCAAGCGCGATTCTGCCTGGGGGACGCGACCCCTCGGAGGTCACGCGGGCGCCCGCCGCCGCCGCGGGGCGCCCTCACTAACCCGGTGAACAATAGCCGTTAAGTGCGTGCGGCGGGGACCAGGGGGGCTGCGCGACTCGGGGAAAGAGCGGGACGCTTTAGGAGGCAGGCGCGCCTGTCACTGCGCCCGCGGGCCACCTGCGCCAGCCGAGAGCTCGAAGAAAACCCGGAGAAGTGGAGTTTCGGCGGATCGGGGAGTCGGACGGGGACGTAGGCGACGCAGCGACGCAGCTGCTCTGCGCCTGCGCGGGATGTGCCGCCCGCGCGGGAGCTGAGGTAGGCTCGTCCCGCGGTCAGGTGACCCGCTGACCGGGAGACGGCGGCGCTGGACGCCACCGGGGACCTGTTGCTTAAGGACGCTTCCTTGGGGTGACCCCTGAAGTGTCTTTCGCCTTCGCGCCAGGCCTGCCGCCGCCGCCGTAAGTGAAGCTTCTCCGCCGCGGGTCAGGGCAAGGGCAGGTCAGGGTCGTTAATTGGGCCCCGTGACTCCACCCCCTTGGCGCGGAGATTCGGGGCGTTTTCGTTCAGAAAAGAGGGGCGTCCGTCTGTCTGGTCCCGACTGCAGACAGTCCTGTTTCGGACCCAGATCCGTGAGTGGCAGCGTTTTCCTTGCGGAAGGGAGATTTTTATTTGCGCGCTCCGGGGCCTTGATGGCTCCATCCTGTGGGAGCAGCCTGGGCGGCGGGGTGGAGCGCCCCCCAGATCTCACATTTCAGATGAAATCTCTGTAAAATCACAGACCTTCCCGCCGTCTTTCCCGACACATTGTGTCGACTCGCTCGGTGTATTTACGTGTCCCTGAGAATATAGACGTCAGGTGCTGGTTCAGAGCACGCGCGCGTGTTACTTGTAATGCGATTTTCATAACCCCCTGCGCTTTTTTTTAATGCGATTTTTATAAACCCCTCCGCTTCTTTTTAATGCGATTTTTATAACCTCTCCGCTTCTTTTTAATGCGATTTTTATAACTCCCTTCGCCGCCGCATCCGGGCCGACTGACCCCTCCTCGCCGGCCTCACCCATGGAACAGGCCTTTTTCGCTTTTTTTTTTTTTAATTCGCATTTCTTTTCGTCGTTAGTGAACTTGAGCGCTTCATGTATTTACCAGTCAGGCCTTTTTTTTTTTTTTTTTTTTTTCCCCTCCTAGGAACTGCCCTGTTCGTGTCCTTTGCTCATTTTTTTATTGGGGTGGTTCATCTCTTACCTAGCGGTATATAAAAGCCCTTTAATGGAACGAAAAATGAGCTCGTGTATCCAGTATGTGATACACATTTTTTTTTTTTTCCCCCCACTCTCTCATTTTTGGTCAGTCGTCTTCTCGCATTGTTTATGGGATTTTGACTAGCCAGATATTTTCATTTTTATGCAGTCAAGTTTATCAGTATATATATATATATATGTGTGNTTTTCCCCCCACTCTCTCATTTTTGGTCAGTCGTCTTCTCGCATTGTTTACGGGATTTTGACTAGCCAGATGTTTTCATTTTTATGCAGTCAAGTTTATCAGTATATATATATATATATGTATATATATATATATATATACACACACACATATATATATGTGTGTATATATATATATATTTTGTAATGGGTTCTTGGTTTTTGTCATGTTTAAAGTCCTTTACCAGATTTCTAAAGCGTTTCCACCCAAGTCCTTTTCCTGTGCTTTTATAGTTTCATTCTTTGCTTTTGAAACCATGCGCTGATCTAGAGTTTGTATTTATATAACGAATGCAAAAAGGATCCGACATTTAAGGAAAACATTACCGATGGCCGGGCCGCCTTTTATGCATAATTAACTGTCCCCCGTGATTTGAAATGGCAGCTTTATTCTGTTTGGATCTAGCTCTGGAATTTATTTGATTCCGTTGATCTGTCTCTCTCATTCTGCCCAGGGCTAAACTGTTTTAAGTACCATAATTTTATGTCCTATTTTGGTGACTGGTAAGGAGAGTATCTCTGTTCATTGTTCTTTTTTTCAGAATTTGCTCTGTTATGCTCGCATTTTTATATTTCCAAGTGACCTTGAACTTTGGCATCATTTAGCCAGGCTCCCAAGATAAATAATCTCAGTATTTTGATCGTGAACTCATTAGTCCTCATATGCTCGCCACCTTTATACAGAATTCAAACTCTCCCAGGCTATGGAAAAAAACAAAAGGGATCATTTGATTCCTGATATTTTTATTATTCTGAGCTAGCCATGTTGGCGGCTGTAAAGATTTCTTGAAAGATGGGATGTTAGTTTGATTACTTTCAGTGTCATTCAACCTTTTTTCATACGTACTCTAAGCCTCAAGCCCAGAATATGGTTTAAAAGAAGCTGTACTGCGACTCAGGGTCATATTGGTTATCGCAGTACATCCTCAGGATCAAAATAATGTTGCCAAAGCTCCAGGAGTTTTTTTAGCTGGTGTAATCCAGTGCTTACCTTGTGCCAGGGGCCTGCCGTAAGTGCTTTATGTGTGCTTCTCATGTAACGATTGCAACAACGCTGTGCTTTAGGTGCTACTGTTAGCTCCATTTTACAGATTGAGGCATAGAGAGTTTAAGTGGCTTTCCTAGGGTCACCCAGCTAATATGTGCCAGAGCCGTGATTTCGACACAGGCAGTTGGCTCCAATGCCTGTGTCTTTAACCACCAAGCTGGTTTTGAGTAAGCTTCCAGAAGGTAGATCAGTTTCCCTCACTGCATGGCGTTGTTCTCATTGTGCCCAGGTGTCATTTACCTTTGAGCCTGGTAAGCAAAGGGTAGTGTTTTAGGACCCAGAGGGGGTGTAGATGGTAGAGAAGGAAGTAGGGGGAATTTAATCTGAACTGCTGTAAGGAAGTTCACTTACTGGCAGCTTTTTGGTGTTGTTCTGTATCCACCTGTACTGGGAACAGGTAATTCTCATTTGGAGTCTGGGAAGGGTCACAATTAAAAAGGCTAACAGGAAACTCTCTTACAGATTTTGCATTTTGATAATATAATTAGCTACATTTTCTTTATACAAAGAGCCAAAATTGTGTTTGTTTGTTTACAAGATATGTAAGAAGAATATTAGGGCTAGGGGGATGGTAATATTTTATTACTAAAGCAGTTTGGACCAAAGAAATACTTAAGAGAAAATGGCAGAAACATTTTCCTATTTGTCAGCTAAACGTGATTTACAGGATCTCTTTGTAAATCTTGTGTACTTTGCACCAAACCTGATTTTCTACATTCACATAAAACTGCTGTTAGCTTTCAATTATGAAGAAAGCCTACAAGTTTTCCCTTGGAAGAAAATACTGTGGGCTTGGCAAACCGAAAGGGAAGTGGTTTAGTTATATACAGAGCTTGGCAAGTCTGGAGTGATTTCTCAGCTGGTTCAAAGGTAGATGATACCTGTGAAGAGTTAGAACACCACCGCAGGGCGAGGGAAACTGGTCTGCCTCCCACAAATGCCATCGTCTAGGAGATGGGGACTGAATGTGGGTATCAACAGAGTAAAATAGCCTCAGGGGTTAAGACATCTGGGTAGCAGTGATTAGTTGCCTGAACACTGCCTTTTCTAGTACAGAATAAATCAGGTGTCTGGCTGGTCATGGATATAAGGGAGCAGAGAGTAAGGCCAGCTGGGTGTTTGCTAAATTATTTGCCCTGTTACCCATGGAGGTGTTCCTGAAATAGTAGTTACCATAGCCCGTTTTTCCAGGGGCAACACCTCGTATGCCAGGAAAGTGAGGGTAGCCTGGTTAGGATGTAATAAGGTAAACAGAACTCGAATACATTGGCACCCAGTTACTTTTTAGTTTGCATTTCAGTTTCAATTGTGTCTTCCTTCTGAACTGTTTCAAATGGCTTCCTTGTTGCTTGTCTCCTTGATGTTCAGAATCCCTGTGGATGGTAGAAAAAAGATGTAAAGAGGCTAAAAGGCACATCTAAGCAAATACGCAGTCAGAAATTGGTGGTAGGATGGTGACTATTGCTGAATTGAGGTCTGTCGTGTCTACATCGTGTTCCTTTCTTGCATGGAAATAATGTTGACTTGATTTGATTAGAGTCGGGGAGACTTTTTGTCATAGGTTGGTTCCCCATAAGTACTCTGAGACAGACATAAAGTACAGGAGGTTTATGGGGGGAGTGTGTGTTCTTGGGATCACTTGTGGGAGGGAAGGGAAGGAGGCAAGAATGCACAGGGAGAGGGGGAGACGTTTGCCATGATGCCATGTCCCCTAAGGCCTCAGCGGACCCCACTGGGCATTCGGAAGCTAGGATGGCCTGTCAGAGTTGGGACAGCAGTCCAGTTGGAGTGGAGAGAGGCCCTTGCATCCCCTTGTTGACCAGTTTCAGGTGAAGTGGCTCTTCTCGGCAGGTAAATTCCCAAAGAAAGGTGGCAGCTCAAGGCCACCCATTGGCAACACTCAGCAGCTGAGGAAATAAGTCCTTCAGTCCCGCAGGGAATCTGGGTGGTGCGTCCCAGCCTCAGAGTAGCCACTAAGATCGCAGGATGTGACTTTGTATTCTCAAAGATGGACCTATTTGATCCTAAAGGCTGTTTCCCCCATATTTTTCTGCTGGGGCCAGAAGCTACTCTGACACCCATTACTTTTCTGCATGATTGGTCTTCACTCCCGTTAGTTATGCTGCTTGTTCTCTTGATGTGGCTACTGATGAGGATGGTGGTAAATAATCAGCAGGTGAAATTTCATTTAATCTCTAAAGGAATGTTCACTGATTTTTCAGAAACTAATTGTAATCACGTGCAATCCCTCCCCTTTTTAACTGCTCCACACATATGCCCACATCCCTTATGCTATTCATACCTCTCTTGGCACTTACCAGTTTTATGTTACAGATTTTAAATTTTTTTTTTTTTTTTTAATATGTTTTTATTGATTTCAGAGAGAGGAAGGGAGAGGGAGACAGAAACATCAATGATGAGAGAGTCATTGATCGGCTGCCTCCTGCACGCCCCCTACGGGGGATCCAGCCTGCAACCCCGGGCTCGTGCCCTCACCAAGAATTGAACCGTGACCTGCTGGTTGGTTCATTGGTTGATGCTCCATGCTGGCTGGGCTAGACTTTAAGTTTCGGTATTTTATTCCCAACTTACCCAAATATTAGCTCTTCAAGCACATATTATATATTTTCAGGCCCTGAAGCACCTTCCACAGTCTTTGCACATTACACACCTCATACGTAAAACTTTTTCACGTGCTCATAGGCCTCGCACCATCTGCAGAGAAATAAAACTATAGAATTTATTGAGAGCAAATACTGAAATGGAGTTTTTTCCCAAGTCTCTTTTTAAGAATCTATACAGTTAATTGGAGCAGTCCCAAGTAAGCACACAATAAATACATTTTGAATTGAACTTGAGTAAATAAAACCAGTAGTTGGCTTTGAAAATAACATATCATTTCTCTCCATTTCTCTTTAGGGCTTACCATGGCTTCTGGTCACACCGTGTTGATGCGGTTGGTAGCCTCAGCATATTCTATTGCTCAAAAGGCAGGAACAATAGTCAGACGTGTTATCGCTGAAGGAGACCTGGGTATCGTGGAGAAGGTACTGAAAAATCTCCTCTTATTTCATACCAACTTCAGTTTTGTTCCTTGTATAGCTCAAGGATGTAATCGTCTGGACGGACTTTAATAGCTGAAATAACCAATGGCTCCCTTATGGGGATTGCAGAATGGTGAGGTCTGGCACTGTGTTGGCAGAAAGAGCAGGAAATGTTTATCCTAGAGAAGAAAGGAGTTGGGATAGTTTCCCTCATATAGTTAAATGGCTGTCAATATGTCTGTTTTCCTCTGAAGTGGTCATCTCTAAATGTGATTGATATATGTCATCTTCAAATTCAACAATTCTCTTCAGAGGTTTCATTCAACAGATATTCAAAGAGCACCTACTGTGCGCCAGATGTAATTCTTTAGGGCATAAAACAAAGATCTCTGCCTGGGTGGCACTACACTTGAGCAGAATAGGACTCTGCATTGAGATAAGCACCAAACCTCAGTGTGGCACAGAAGAGTTGATTTTCATGATCATTCCCTATCTCATTACAAAGCATTTTAAAAATCCCACTGTTTAAGTTCATATAATCTGTAAATTCACCTAATCAGGCGTATTGAGTTACAACATGTCATAATTCTCTGAAAGGAAACTAACAAAGGAGGTTATGGCTGTCAATTCTAAGATTTTTCATGTCTCTCACTAGCATGACTGTCTGATATGTGGATTGAGTGCCATAGGTGGGCTATGTATTAAATATTATGGTTGTTCATTTTTCATTTCAGAAGTAGGAATTTTTTTTCTATACCCCAAGGAATTGTCTGAGGGCCCCTTCAATTACTAGGATTAGGATTAGTGAGTGACAGTCATGGGAGAATCCATATAAGGAATACCTTTCAAGTAACTCAAGATACAGTTTTTTAGCTTTGATTGCCTGCCTTGAATAAGTTATGAATTTTCTGTCTCTCAACCTGTTTAAGCAAAAGGTTGATCTAGAGATCTTATGAAAGGAATTTCTGAACCGGGGAGAAAATGTTCTCATAATTTAAAAGCTCCTTTCCAAACTTTTACCACCATAAATCCCATGAGGAAAACCAAGCCAAGAAATGAGTTGACTCATTTGGTGTTAAATTCCCTGAGTCTAAAAACAGATAGTGTCATTCAAATGATATACACACTCATGCCTTAGGAACCAGAAGACGACATTTCCTGCGAGCTGTGCTAAAATTTGGGTTCTTTGTTGCAGACCTCTCCAACCGACCTGCAGACCAAAGCCGACCGGCTGGTACAGATGAGCATATGCTCCTCACTGGCGCGGAAATTCCCCAAGCTAACGATTATAGGGGAAGAGGTAAGACTTGTCAGGGATGCAATATTTATTTATTTAAAATATGTTTTTATTGATTTCAGAGAGAGGAACGGAGAGGGAGAGAGAGATAGAAACATTAATGATGAGAGAGAGCCATTGATCAGCTGCCTCTTGCATGCTCCCTACTGGGGATAGAGCCTGAAACCCTGGCATGTGCCCTGACGGGGAATCAAACTGTGACCTCCTGGTTCACAGGTCGATGCTTAACCACTGAGCCACACTGGCTAAGCTATTGTATTTATTTAAATGCCTGTTTACCATATGGCTGTATAATTGCCGCTTTAATGATTTATATATCACTATTATGATTTCAAGTATTATATCTAGTAGTTTAACGCAAAAATAGTTATGTTCCTTGGACTTGAAGGGAATGTCTGATTGTGAAATATTTGGGTCCGTTTCTAGATCAGATGTCTCCATACTTGACCATTGAAGACATGGTTACCGTTACAATATTCAGCACATAAACTATAAAATAGGCAGAGTTCTAGAACTTTAGAATGAAACGGATTTTGTCTCTGTTTATTTGTTTTTAAGCTAGGCTTATTTACATGTTTGTCCAAAGACTACCACTGTGAAAGTGAAGGAATTGGCATCTCATGTAATCGAGAGAGATGGCAGGACCACTTAATTCTGAAAAGCTTCTAACACTTAAAAATTCTTTTCTTTCTAACTATTCAGGATAACAAAGTTGGGACTCTCTGTAATCGGCTTTGATGAGCCCTGTCTGGTCCTGTAAACAAGTTTGTTGAGTTTGCTTTAAAGCTGCAAACATAAATGGCAGGAATAGTGAAAACCGATGCTGCGGATTTCTCCCGTTACTGACACGAAGGTACTCGGTAGACACTCAGCAGCTTCAGTAACCAGTGTTCTCTACTGTAGGATCTGCCTTGCGAAGAAGTGGATCAAGAGCTGATCGAAGATGGTCAGTGGGAGGAAATACTCAGGAAACCGTGCCCTTCAGAGTACAGCACGATTAAAGAGGAAGATGTATGATCTGCATCATTGCTTAACTCTCTGTTGATCTTTGGTTGTTTGGTTGTGGGTTTTTTTTGCCATAGTAAGGAAATAAAATTTGCCTATAATGATGAAAAGCTGGTAGTTATAGAATAGAGGCAACCAGGAACTTGAAAACTTTCAGAGCCAATGTAGAGTCTCAGGCCACCATATGGAATGTCTGACTTGTAATGGAGAGTTTAGTTTCATATGCCATTGGATTCTTCTCCATGCTAAAGCTATTATTACAAATCCATTTAGGGAGAAAATCTAACTTTTTATTTAGTAGATTCACTAGTAAAACATTTCATTGGCAATTGGACCTGAAACGAGATGAAACCAATCACTACCATATATTTTTGAAAGGTCATAAAAATCACCTTGCTTAATACTTTATATAGTTGCTTAAATTAAATCTGTGACTTCAGATAACTATACTTCTTTAATTTTCTACTTTTAGTTGTGTAACCCACATTTATTGTATGCTTACTGTGAATAAGGCGCTTTGCTCTGGGGTATGAAGGATACAAAGAGAGTGAGACATGGTGGTGTCTTTCATCAGAAGTAGCCTCCCTGACAAATTCACATCCTGTTATCGTTGTAGTGGCTAGTGGCTGCGTGGCCTGAATCATGTTAAAAGACCTAAGTTGAGGGGCTTCTTTTTCTGTCTACTGTCAGCTGTATAAACTGTTTATTTTTATTTGCCACATACAAACGGTGACCTTAAGTCAACCAGACTGTCATTTCTTAAATCAACACACCATTTTGGTGCTACTTTAAAGCTTCTTCAGATCACTACATGGAGCTCTGTGTTTATGGGACTGTGTTTAGTGTTCACCAGTGAAGCACTTCATTTAAAAAATTTTTATGTCAGACTTTTCTCCAATTTAAGTGGACTTTTTCCATGATTAAAAACAATGAGTTTCCTTTTACTGTCACAAAATTGATGACATCGGTGTAAGCCATCCATAATATAATTTCAAAAATGAGGGGGGAAAAAGAATAGTTTTGGTTAGTCTAATTAAATCTATTTTAAAAAATATTTTGTTGGCTTAATTTGGATATTTCCTTTTATCTTTTAGCTTGTGGTCTGGGTCGATCCTCTGGATGGTACCAAGGAGTACACTGAAGGTTGATATATCTTTCTCATATGATGAGCATAAACATTCAGCATTTCATATGTTGTGTGAAAAGCTGGTATTATGTTTTATGTCTGTGTCCTAAAGCTGTATGTGTGCCCGTCCCAGCTAACTGTTGTTATATATCAGTGATTGTCAAGATAGAGAGAAAACTCATCTCCTTCCAGTACCTCCCACAAGGAATCTACCAGCCCCACACTTCTAACGTCCCTTACATGAGAATAACTAACATTAAGCCAGTGTTACCAGACTGAACCCTCAGCTTTGTGGGGTAGAACCCCAATGAGAAGCACAGCTATACTGCCCTTGCTCTGGTAGGAGCCAGAGTTTTAGGTTTTAANAGTTATAGATTTTAGGAGCACAGCATAAGCTTTGGGTTTTATTTCTGAAATAAACATCTACATAGGGTTTCTTATGTTGGTTCTCAGCTTCATGGCTTAAAAAGAAAAATTCTCTAATGCTGTTTGATGGTCCCTGGGCCCNACATCTACATAGGGTTTCTTATGTTGGTTCTCAGCTTCATGGCTTAAAAAAAGAAAAATTCTCTAATGCTGTTTGATGGTCCCTGGGCCTCACGTTGAGAAACCTTCCTTTAGAGCCTTAGAATGCAAATCTAGAGAGTAATCCTGGAATAGAGAGTGATCCAGCAGGCAAGAGTGAGTTGGATGGTGGTACAAGGGGCACAGAGGGATCTAATGATACTGGCCGTGGGGTTACGGCAGTTTATTTAATTAGTTTTCAAAGTATACTAATGAGACCATGTGTATCAATTCAGGTGAGTGGCCATAGACTCCACTTCTCTCTCTGGTTAGCTCTCTCTTATAATTGGTGAATTTTGCCAGAAGTTGGATCGATCGTGGATGAGTCATTGCAGATTCCTTACCCTTAGTGCAAAAATAACTTGTCGCAATTCGTATGTTGATGATGAGTCATAACATGAAAAAGTTATATAGTAATTGATACTAATTTCTTCTTTGTAGGTCTTCTTGACAATGTGACAGTTCTTATTGGAATTGCCTATGAAGGGAAAGCCATAGCAGGAGTTATTAACCAGCCATATTACAACTACCAGGTATTACTATAATTTACACAGTTTATTATTTTTTTATGCAAGAAGGAAAGAGTTTATTTCAAGAGGCAGCCAGATGAGGAGATGGGGAGAAATCCCAGCCCTGCTTCCCCAAGGCAGAAAAGATGATGGTTTTTAAGGAGTTTGAAAAGGAGCTTTACATGCAAAGGGAGAGGGCCTACGCAGTTCTAACATCTGGTAAAGGGGGTTAGTGATCTGGTGTGGGGGGCAGTTTTTGCAGGATTCCTGCACCAATTCTTCCATATCGCCATGTACTTGAGGAGTCATCTCCTAATAGTATAGACTTCTTGGAGTCTCCTGGGTTTTCCTTCATGTTATCTTCAGATTCAGTCTCCTGGTTCCCGGTGTTGTAACAGATAAGCCGTGGCCCAGCGTCTCTGAACCTCAGCAGCACCTGCTCACTCTTTTTCCCCTCTTGAATCACCTCTTCTATGGGAAGCCACGTGCCAGGAAATGGGGCTACTCAAGCAGGCTGCAGAGGGGTCCAGGCGTCAAGGAATGGAGGTCTCTGGCCAGTAACCAGTGAGGGTGGAGGCCTCACTGTACAGCTGGCTTTCCCGCTTTCTCATGTAGACACGGGAGAGCTTGGCTGAGGTGGCCAGCAAGTAGATGTCGCCTCCAGCAGGGAGGTGGGGGCAGGGACACACAAAAATATTTTATTAGATAAATAATGATAATGTTATACGATTCCTGATATTCTCTAATCCAGTGGTTTTCAGCTTCGTTTCCAGCACATACATTCATCCTTTCAAAATACAGATTCCCACATCACACTCCAGACCTATTGAATCACAACTTCTGGGGCCACTGATACCAGGAATGTATATGTAATGCACACAGTGTATGCCTTATGACTCAAATGCAAAAGTTGGGGAATTACTGATGTGGTTCTTGAGCAGTCTGGTCATTGAGACACCTGATTTACAGGTGGTTCTTCAAGCACATTGAGGAAATGAACCATTCCAACCAGGAAAGATGCTAGCCATGTTGTTTTCCAGGTAATACTATGTAGTGCCTAAATTATAGCCAGCACTAATAACAGAACTAAATATGCTCCTGCACCCTTTTCTCTTATTTCTCTCTCTAATATAGTTGGACTTTCTACTGTACTCCCAAGAAATTGTCTTCCTTAGGAGCAAGAGATTAATGTAATTCCAAAGCAAGAATATATCATTAAGTCACATTAAATGTGAAAGGAAAGTATTGAGATAAATACTTAAGGTATTTACATCAGTCTGACCTGGATAGAACTTTAGAGAAACAAAATAACCAGAGTGGGGACTCTTACTTTTGAATTTGCAGTTTGAGTTAAGAGCAAGATTAATCTCTACTTCTAAGATAAAGTTGTTTTATTCTGCCATTTGTATGATAATAACTTTATTTATAATTATGTGCTTCTTGGGATTATTTAGCGAAACTAGTTAATGCATTACTGGTAAAGTTTCTCATATTAAGCACCCACTGGTTCTTTTAGTATGTTTATATAGTATTAATACACAGAAATAAATTTGTGCATATTATGTAAACTTTAAAATGAGTTAATACTGTTACTTAGGGGAGAGACATTTTATTTGTAGATAACTAACGCATAGCACCTTTCCATCATAAAAGGATCTGAGTGCTTAGAAGTTGTTAACCGTTTCCATCCCTTCTGAGATTAGAAAAATTGTATTCATTTTCCACAGAACAAGGAAAAGCGGAAGTTAAGGGGACACAGGAATGAAGCAAAGGTGAGGAAAATAGCTAGGGTTTGGCTCCACTAGCGATGAGGTTGGAAACCCGTGTCACCAGCTAGTGTTTGTCGAGCCCACGTTCCGGCTCACCTTCTCCTGTTCTGCTGCTCTCCTTTGTTACCTGTCCCTTCGCTGCATTCCCTTCTGTTTGCTCCCTCTCTCCATCCTTCCTTCCTTCCCTCTTGCTTATGCCTTAAGACATGTTGCAATAAGCAGAAAGTTGCTCGGCTCTGTTGGATAGTAGCCAAGGCTGAATATTCCATTTTAAATCATCATCGCCATAATAGCTAACGTTTATCGAGAGTTTACTGTATCCTGCCAGACTCAAGGGGTTCGCACGCATTATCTCATTTAATATTCCCCATCGCCCATTAAGGAAACCCTTCTCCCTGTTGTAAAGAAAGGGAAACCAAAGCAAGGAACTTACCCTGGGTTGCCCAGTTTGTCGACAGCAGGTCTGGGATTCAAACCCCAGTCCAAGCTCTTACCCATTACTCTATATTGCTCTCCTGAGCTGGATGAAAGACTTTTAACAGTTAAAATTCCATTATTGCTTCTAACAGCTACTAAAACTGTTGTTGGGTCTATATCACAGCTCAGTTTCTCCCTCTGTCCACTCATGCTGCCTTCCCTCCCTTCCACAGGTATTGATCCCAGGGCACTCCTCAGTAAACACCCTACCCATCTCAGAGTCCGCTTCCCTAGGAATCCCTAGGAATCCAGCCTGCAACACCAGCCATTTCATTATAACAATGCCCAGAGTGCTGCTGAAGGGCAAATAAGATGATGTGTTTGAAAGCATGTGACAAGTAAACTGAGGCAGTATAGTCTAATGAGGAGGCTTTGAACACAGATGAGCCCAAGTTGGTTATGATCTTCTTACTTAATGATTCCAATCTCTTTTTTTCTCACCTGTAAACTAAGGTGATAATACCTACTCCATGGGGTGGTTCTGGAGATTAAATGAGATAATACATGTAAAGCACTTAGTATGGTGCCTGGTATGTGTTAAGTATTCAGTAAAATGTGTGTCTGTATGTCTATTATGTTAAATAATGCTATTTTGATGAAGTGAATAGCCATAAACAATGTGGTTGAAAATTCTTAGAGCTCTGCAAAGGAGAATACAGATTCTTAGATTGCATTGTCATCATTTTAGTACCACCCTTGTGAGTAAAGTCCTTGACCTCGATCTCCATTAGCCATCCCTACCAGCCTAGTCAGTTATTCTGTCTCCATAGCAGCAAAATGCATTTTCACCATTACCTATCATGTTAACTCGATCCTTACTGTTTCTTGGATATTGAGAAGTAGTGATCAGTACCTGGTGTTTCATTTCCTGGGCCCTTCAGTACCTTTGGCAAAGAGCTATTTCAGATACAATAAGGAGATTATTTGATTTGAAGAGGAGCCATAATTAGCATCAATTTCCTGAGGACTCCAGGGAATACCTTTGAAACCCAATTATTAACCCGAACAAAAAAGGATAATCTGTTGATTCTCTAGGGAAAATTTCTTTGTCAATGGTATTGTTTTGTACTTTATAACATTCTCATGCTTTTATGTTCTAAAAATCATGATGCTGTGACAGCTAAGACAGCTAAATATTCCATTTATGGCTCACATTTCCTCCTGGTGATTATAAGCTGTACTGTTGTTTCCCCCGTTTACACAGGCAGGACCAGATGCTGTGCTGGGAAGGACAATCTGGGGAGTTTTAGGCTTAGGCGCTTTTGGCTTTCAGCTGAAAGAAGTGCCGGCTGGGAAACACATTATTACCACCACCAGATCCCACAGCAACAAGCTGGTTACCGACTGCGTCACTGCCATGAACCCTGATGACGTGCTCCGAGTGGGTGGAGCAGGTAACAAGGTAGGAGTTCCTGCTCTGAAAGGCAGTTGAGTCACTGAACGAAACACTGAGCTTTTGACAAAGGTGAAATAAGAGTTTGGGAGAAGAGATCAGAGATTGTGATTTGCCATTCAAAGCACATTTCAGCAACATTCGAATTTTTAAAAAAATGTGAAGGTTGCCTCCCATACTCACCCTGACTGGGGATCGAATGGAAATCTTTTGGTGTATGGGACAACGTGGCAACCTACTGAGCCGCCCGGCCAGGGCTCTTAGTCTGTGTATTTAAAATCTGAGCTTTACAGTACTATTTTACAGTTTAACCAAAAGAAAAATCACGACATACAGAATGTATCAAAACAGAAAGTAAAGAATCAAAGCTTGATAAAGCAAGTTACTGTTTTGAGTCCTGCAGTTTCTACAGGTGGCCTCAGTTTTATATGAGTGTTACAAGAATTACTAAGATGACCGTTTAGAAATTCTCATTTTGGCAGTGCAAATAATGGATATGACCCCAAAAACAAGTAACTAACTACTTGCTAGACTGACTAGCCAGCATCACACATCTGTTAGGATTTACTGCAGTTTAATACATTGTTGTCCTCATTGATATTGCTCTATCCTTTGTATAATAATGGTCAGTTGCTTCAAGATTAAACAACTTTATTTTTTACAGTAAATATATGTTGCTTTTACAGTAAGAAAGAAAAACAACGTAAAAAAACCCTATTTTACCTAACTTGGACTATGGGGACTGTTCAGATATCCTTCTCGTAGCTTACTGACCACTTCCCCCCCTCGGATATTATTGTGCACATATTCTGTATGTCTCTTCATAATAGTCTTGTCATTTAAACCTGCTAAAGGCTTTCCCTTAAGCAGAGTCTAACAGGAGTTGAAATATATTTGATAGAAACAAGCCATTTTCTCTTAGTTTTACCTCATTTGTTTCATGGTTGAGAGATAATTATTGCCTTTAACTTTCCAGATTATTCAGCTGATTGAAGGCAAAGCTTCTGCCTATGTGTTTGCAAGTCCTGGGTGTAAGAAGTGGGATACTTGTGCTCCAGAAGTTATCTTACATGCTGTGGGAGGTTAGTCCATTTTATTTCAGGGGATGACAGTTTTTATATTCTGCTGATACCACTTTACCTAGGCTCCTAGGATGTTTTGATTTTTTTTATCCTATTTTTATTCCTATCACATTATTTTACCAGTATCTCATTAACATATTACATGATGAGGAAGTTAAATTCAGCACCATCCATTCTCATTAGAATGGTAAGTGAAACTATAATAGTTACATTTTATGAACATACTTCACTTAGACTCTTACCAAATCAAGTGTTAATGTCAAACAGTAGAGTAAAGAAAGCATTTTTGAAAATAGGACTAGAGATGATGAAGTATAACCACCTGGAAAAGTAAGCAACTCAGGAGAAATGAATTGATACTGATAGATATAAACTGAAAATGCTAAATGTAATTATTTTAATCCAAAGGGAAAAATAATGTTTTATCCTGCAGTTAGTTAACATTGCTCTGTAGTCTTAGATTTCAAGGTAATTAACACTTAACCCTTATCTTCCTTACCCAGAATTAATTGGATATTATTGCATAGGGAAGCAAGAGGCCTTAAAAATGATGCACTGTAATGGCAGAATCAGACATTAATGGTGCACTGGTGTTTTTTTCTGTAGGCAAGTTAACCGATGTCCATGGAAACGGCCTTCAGTATAACAAGGAGGTGAAGCACATGAACTCCGCTGGGGTCCTGGCCTCCCTGAGGAATCATGACTACTACACAAGTCGAGTTCCCGAATCTGTTAAAAATGCACTCGTTCCTTAAAGGAACATCTCGCTGACTTAGCCAAGAGAAGGACAGCTGCAGGAAGAGGAGAGAGGAGAGGTAACCATGTTCCCAAGGTCTCAGCCCTGGATCAGGAGATCCTTGAAGTTGATCCTGACACTAAGGAAATGCCGAAGCTCTTGACTCGGGCAGTCTGTCCAACCTGTAGGTCACTCAGCCTACCATTGGTATGAATTTCAAAACACCCCATGGAGCCATTTGAATCTTTCTGCAGCTCTGCAATATTATCAATAAACCACAAACAATCTAAAAAAAATGCACTGGTTCTTTAAAGGAACATCTCATTGACAGCTAGGAGAAGGGCTTGGTTCTCAAAATAATACTGTTTAAGAACAATTGGGTATAATTAGAGCTTCTTACTGATCAGTGATTTATTTCTAGGTACTTAGGAGTAGAAAATAGATTTTTAAAACCGTGATTAATCAACCAGACCAATGTTGAGAATTGGAGAATCTGTAAAGTCTGTCACATTTCATTTCCCCCTCTTATTGGGAGAAATGAAAGAAAGGTTTAGTCTCAACTGACTGTCTCAGTCAGTTGTTTAATCAACATTCCTATTGTATAAACCAGACTTCTTTAGGGCACAGAAGCACAAGTTGTTACCTGAATCTCATTCTTGTTTTCACAGTAATTTTTAAAATTTTCCTGTTATGAATACACAGAAATTATATATGTTATTATGTATGTTGATGAAACAGATTTATGGAAAAATTGCCTCTTTATAATAAATTATTTCATTCTAGCTGGTCTCTGTCCAATGCTTTATTTTATTTTTTGTTTTTATTTAATTTAAATTACAGTTGACATACATTTTATATTAGTTTCAGGTGTACAACATAGTGATTAGACATTTAAACAATTTACGAAGTGATCACCCCTATAAGGCTAGTACCCATCTGACTTTCCAGTGCTTTTACATAAAGTTTTCTGTGGTTGAATGAACAAAGTGGCTGAAATTAATCATTCCCAAACCCAACAGCATCTCAGAATCACCTAGGAAGCTTTTCAAAAATAGTCACAGGCTCCATCACAGCAATTTTGACTCTGTATATTTTAAGAAGACTACTCCAGGGATTTGCTAATTACTAAAATTCAGGACTCACTAGATAAGATGGTTTAGTATAATCTTACAGAGCATGAAAGCATCCAACAAGATAGTGACACCAGGACTCTTAACACTATGTCTTGCTTTCCTGAAAGCAGGTTTCTATGTGTGTACCACAGTTTGCACTCTTTTTACAAGTCATTTTTTATTGATGACATCCATTTTTTTGATTCCATTCTCTCAAAACTCAACAAAAATAACTAGGATGCACTGAGTGAGAGAGATGGAAATAAATGATCTCAAAAGTTAAAATCTAGCAATGATATTTAAATGAGAAAATTAGCCCTATGAAATCTTGTATGGGTCAAGACGAGGGTAAATTAATACATGCAAGTCTTAACATTGGATAACTAGAGAACAACTTGTGTTGTTTTACAATCTACGCAAGTCAGCAGTTTACTGAACTCATGTGGTGCATTAATAGCATTGTAATGGGCGACATTAAGTGTTCCGTGCTTCTGCTTGCACTCTGTCCTGATGGCAGTGTACCCAGAACATTGTGTTTAGCTCTTGAGTATCACATTATAAAAGGCACATTGACTAACAGGAGTGTATTTGGAAAAGGGGAGTCCAGGCAAACAACGCCAGGGCAGGGGCTTTTAGCAGTAACGCCTTTTACCAATACATCCTTTCTTTAAAAGATTTTTTCCCCCATTTTTTATTTTAAAGCGTTTTTTCAATTACAGATCACATTTACTATTATTTAGTGTTGGTGTCAGGCGTAGTGGTTCAACAGTCCTAGACTTGACAAAGTGTGTTCTCCCTGATGTTTCCAGCACGAACTGGCACCGTACATATTGTTACAATATTACTGACTCTATTCCCTACGCTGTCCTTGACATCCTCGTGGCTATCTGGAGACCACCAGTCTTCCCGTCTCAACCCCTTCACCTTTGTCACCCAATCCAATGAGTCCTTTATTATTTTCACGTACGAAAAGAACTCTTGAAAATACTTTCCCCTCTTGATATAAAGAATAAGAGGAGGCACGAGGAGAGTCCCCCCGCATGCCGCATCACCGGCGCGCTTCCAGGACCCGTCTGCGTTTACATACACGCAGCGCTCGCGGACAGACCTCGGCACCCTCGGCCGACTTCCGGTCGCTCTTCTCTTGAACTTGGTCTTGCCACCTGCTTTACGACGTGTCGTAAGCGAAGTGTCATAAGTGCGGCCCGCTTTCGCGTCTTTCCCGTCGCGACAAGGAGGGCCACCTAGGTCTCGCGTTCTCTAGCCGCCGAGGGGCGGGGCGGCGGACGCAGACGGCGCGCGGAGATGACGTAGCTGGTGTGCGCAAAACGCCACGGCCACGGCCACGGCGCAGGGGCGAGGCTGCGGCGGCGTTAGCGGCGGCGTTAGCGTCAGCGTGAGCGTCAGGGGCGCGCACCCACTGCAGCTCCCCGCTTTCGGCGCGTCAGGAGTGGTTGGGGCGGTCGGGCAGGCGAGCTCCCCGTGGACCCGCAGACCCGTGGAGATGGCGACGCTGTGTCTGACCGTGAATTCAGGAAAC